CAGAAGCGAGAAAGCTACCGGCTGGGCCAGGCTAATACCTCCGCACTATTTCTCCACGATAACATCCCTTTGTGTGAGCCCGTTGGAAGTGACATTACCCAGCGAATGCACAATTCTGGATGCCTTCCGGGGCTCAGGTGTGGCTGACAGTATTTTTGTGTGTGTTTGTTTGCTTTCGAGACGCCCTTAGGGAGACCTCTGAAAGCTCATCCCATAAAAATAGCTTTCTTTCTGATCCAAGTCAAGCCATGGGTTGACCTGACCGCCTGCAAGTATAAATCTATCCTGGCACTGGCCAGCAGTGTCATCCGTAATGTGTAACATATTTCTTAAATCCCCTGTGTCGGTGAGATTCACATCATTATCCCCTCATTTGAATATTAATCAGTCGCCTGTTTGTACACCTTGAGGAGTCAATGCAAGGGCACAGCACAAAGTACTTTGAGAAACACGCAGCTGGCAACTTTTTTAACTCGTGGACAGTGGGAGCATTGCTTACCTGAATGGCCGTGTGTGGTTTAACGGGTCTTTAAATCGGTGAGTATGTAACGGCCAGCAGTTATTTCTCCCCGCAAAATTACTTGACTCTTTCAACAGCAGGTATTAAAACGAGGTGGAAAATTAAACAAGGAAGGTACGCTCTTTTTGATAGCTTCTTAATGTGTCTTCGAAGCCCGTGTATTGAGCCGTGAATCCCCACAAACAACCCCGAGGCGAACGATCGATTTATCTGAAGGACTATTGGCAAGAAGATAACTTTTCAGATAGTGCCAGCGTGTCAGCCTGGCTCAGCTGGTAGCACTTTCGTCTCCGAGTCAGAAGGTGTTGGGTTCGAGCCCAAAGTCAAGCCTTTGAACTCACACTGACACTGAGATGGGAGAAGAACGGGGAGGGAGTGTGAGGCAATGTCGGAGGTGCCGGCCTCCAGATGAGACGAGGTCCTGCCTGTTCAGGTGAGGGAGTGTTCGAGTTCAAGATCCTCGTCCTCACCTTTAAGGCCATCCATGGCCTTGCCCCCTCCTACCTCTCTGACCTGCTGACTCCTTACCAACCTGCCCACTCCCTCCGTTCATCAGGCTCCGGCTGCTCCATGTCTCCCGCCCGACCATCGGTGGCCGGACTTTCAGCCTCTCAGCCCCCACACTCTGGAACTCCATCCCACGGTCCCTTTACCTCGCCTCCTCCCTCGACTCCTTCAACGCCGGTCTCAAGACCCTTCTCTTCGATCGTGCCTTTGGGCTCCCTCCCTCCTCTCTGCCTTCCCTCCCCCCTACACCACCCCTCCCCCATGCTCGGGCCCGGACACCTGACTGTCCAGCGCTTTGGGACGTCCTCCCGACGTGAAAGGCTCTCTACAAATGTAATTTTGTTGTTGTTGTTGTTGGCCGGGACACTGGGAGAAACTCCTTTCTCTTTTCGAACAGCGCTGTGGGGATCTTTAACTTTTACTTAAGCTCCTTAATGATTATGAAAGAGCTGTCATATGCAGCAGTTTAATCTGCAACAGAAACACAAATGTACGTGGCAGGTCAGGGAAATAGCTGAAGTGGGCAAAGGAAAGGCAGGTGACTCATTAAGTGTCGAGGGATGGGAGGGAGAGAGAGGAAGATAGCAGTGGGTAGAAATAGCAGAACACCTGAGATTGGTAATGAGGAACACAGTCGAGTGAGTGCAGGAAGGGAAACAGAAGCGGGAATCGATAAGTCTGGGAAAATAATGACTAAAAGCAGTAGGTGGATCAGGGTAGCAGGATAATTAACAATGCCTCGGAGCTGAACAATCAATGGACATCATCAAGGGTTCCCAAACGGTGGAACGCAACAAAAGCACAATGTGACATGATCTGGATCGTGCAACACTGCAGACTGCCAGGAAAGTCCCGTTCCAACCCCCATAAGATTGATGAAGGCAAATGGAAGTCATCTGAACATAACTGGGAATCCCTGGTCTACTTAACGCCTGGTTGCATCCTGCGCTCTCTCTCCAGCGCGCAGCCCGTGTTTCCTCGCAGAGCAGCACATCTAGCGATTCGTTTCTATGATCGTGTCCTCTCTCTGCGCGGCCAGCCCTCCTGCTGAGAGAACATCTTCCACTCGGAATTTGGCCAGCGTTTACCTGCTGGTCCAAATGCCCGCAAATTGCGAGGACAGTTTGCCAGGGTTGGACACACAAGAACAACAACAACAACAACAGCGACTTGCATTTACATAGCGCCCTTCACATGGGGCCTTTCATTGTTTTGCAGCACCTTTTTCAAGTCAGAACATCACAAAATGCTTCACAGCTTGTCAGGTGCGGTGACTGTAGATTTTCTCAGCGGGTGTTTATTCTCCACGCATGCCCCCACCCTTCCTGTTGCCCCCCCACCCCTACGTTCCCTTCTCCCTCGTGCGTGCATCAAGTTGCCTCTTAAATACATTGCTGCTTTCTGCTTTAGCCGCAGCTTCGGGCAGTGAGTTCCACATCCTCCCCGCTCTCTGCAGGACAAAGTTCCTCCTAATCTCTCCATTGCATCTACCGCTCGCGATCTTATGCTCATCTCAGGCCCACTTAGTCAGAAGCAAGCGCGTTATTGTGGGATGAAAAAACACCCACTGTGATCCCATTGACACTCTGAGTCACGTGGGGACCCAATAACGCTTTGAGTGAGTGACCATATTTTAATTTCGTTCGATTAATTTAACAAAAAAGAACCTCGAGACTTTTCCGAGCGTTGACAAAACGTTTGAGCAGTTAACAATGCTAAGCCACTCTGTAGCAGGAGACAGCTCTGTTTAACAACTGCGTCTTGCTTTGTGATTTTCTCATTTAATTTTATCAGGCACATCGTGGCTAACAGCCCTGACTTACATGGCATGGCGCGTGCAGACTGACTGACTTACAAAACAGCAGCACAGTCTCACTGAACATTACCGAGTCGTGCCCGAAAATAAATTCCTCTCCACCCACATCTGGGCTAGAGTTCAAAATCCTCGTCCTCGCCCTCAAAGCCCTCCACGGCCTCGCTCCTTCCCTTGCCTCCTTCGAGGCACGTCTCAAGACCCTCCTCTTCGACCTGGCGTTCGGCCACTCTCCTACCCCTACCCTCCCTGCTCTACACCCCTCAGATACTCACGGGGGAGTGTTTGTGTGTCACTCTGCACAATTACGCAGGGAGAAATTCTATGCTAAATGCGTTCCTACTCGGGAACTTGTGGGGACAGAATTAACGGGGGTTAAGTTTGATTTCTTAATGCTTCTCTCCACGCCGTTCCTGACACAGTGTGCCTCCAGGCATTGCTTCAGCTGTTCTGTTCGACACAACACGGCGCTCTGCTGAATCAATATTCATAACCTGATTTAAATAGACTTCTCCTCTGCTTTCCTCGTGGGGGCGCGAAGCAGAAAAGGGTGTCAGTTCTGTGACTGACCTCCTCGCCCCAGAGAATTCCTCTCCACCGACAATCTTTTTTTTTGTGTAGAATCATCAAAAGGCATGTTGGTGCACTGTACCAACCGGAGGTCAGGAAGTCGAGGTGTTTTAATGTAGATCTATTTTGAACTCGTATAGTCTAGGGACTTTGAACTCACACAGTCTAGGCTGACACTCCAACAGCAGTGCTGCATTGTCAGAGGCCCCATCCTACGGGTGAGACGTTAAATCGAGCTCCTGTCTCTGCCTGCCCTGGTGGACGTTAAAAGATCTTGCGGCGCTACTCGAAGGGAGGAGGAAGTTCCTCTCTCCCGGTGTCCTGGTCGACGATCCCCACCCTCCCAGATAAAAATTGTTTGTTTACTTCGTGGCTGCTTGCGGGACTTCGCTGCGTGCAAATTGGCGGCCGCTTTTGCTTCGAAAAAATTACTCAGTCGTAACACTCGACGGTCTGTTCTGAGCAGCCGTCCGACCGCGAAAGGCGCTGTGTTAAATGCGAGAGGTGGTTTTTTTTCCGCTTCAGTTAAGCGGCGCAAGGGTTGAGGAGCGAAGCTGTGTGCGTTGTGATACCCGCCTGCAGAGGGAGCATTGAAATGTCTGCCATTGCCTTGCTGTCTGCCAGGTTCCTGTACCCGATTTATTAGGATCAGCGCTGTAACGAAGCGCGTTTACAACAGGGGTCGCGCTGTCCAGTGTGCGCTTATCAAAGCCCATCCAATTCTCCAAATGGTGCGCTATATCACTGCATACAGCAAATAACTTGCCCTTCTCAGACTTTGAATTGTTCCCTTAACGCCTCTTCCGCAGTTCCAAGCAGACGTTATTGATCAAAGCCAAGGGAGAGTGTGTGCCAATCACTGCCAATATTATTAGTATCACACCTGTTAATGGCGCGCGCTTCTGCTATGGGAGAGAAAAAAATAAAGGCAGCGCTTGAAGCGATTGTAACCAAAGTGCGTTTGCATTCGAGTAGCAGGTGAGCAACCTTGCTCGGTGCGTGGAGCACCGGAGACTCTCAGCTGAAGCGTAAAACAAAAATAACTCGAGGCGAGTTCTGCAATGAAAGCATCAATCGAGTGGTCTGGAGCAGAAAGGCATTCGTTTGCAGAAAGCTGATGAAAATCAATAATCGAATGAATGTAAAATCACAACAACAATTACAAAGGGTTTCGAGAGCTACAGGCAGAGGCCAAGCCTGTCTAGTTATTTACGGACAAGATTGAAACGGGGTGGGCTGAAGTCTTATATTATTAGGGCTTTGAATGTACGGCCTAGGCTGACGTTCTGTGGGGGTGTGGGGGTGGGGGGGAACTCTGGGTTGTCGGAGGCACTGTCCTTCAGATGTGACATCAAACCGAGCTCCCATCTCTACCTCTTAACAACACCACAGCCTGCCACAGTGCAGGAATGTGCCCCTGGGTCTTACGCAGATCAGAACGCTTAGTATCACAATGCGCTGGGACCAAAATACATGTAAGAACGGCAGGATTTAATCAAGAGTTTCCTTCTCAATAATATCGGCGGCATTCACCATCCTTTGGGAAAACGTGCCACGGGGAAATGATTGGCAACCCACAAAAAGACATACCATAAAAAATCAGCTGTCCTTTCACTGTGTTCTTCCCCCTCGAGTTCTCAGCGATACACTCGTACGAACTTGCGTCTCTCTGCTGGAAGTTTGGTACTTCGAGAACGCCGTTTGTTTTGTTGACTTTGACCTTGTCAGGGAACGAGCTTCTGCCATTTCTCCTCCAGGTGATGGTAGGGACCGGACTGAAAAAGGCAAAAGCACAAATCAATCGGAAGGGCCGCAAACGGCGGATCGAAGCCATTCGCGGAAGGAAAAATCAAAGAGAATCCATTCAAAGCCCGGGACTTTACACTCAAAGTGCAGACTGAGACTCCAGTGCCGGGCTGGGGGGAGTGCCGCATGGTTGGAGACGCTGGCCTTTGCGCGAGACTTTAAACCGAGATCCCGTCTGCCTCGAAAGAGAAAGGAATCCCCCAAATAAAAGCTTTGTGGTAAATGGACTGTGAAAATATCGCCATTCCAATCAGTGCGTCGACATTTGCTTTATCCTCACTGAACTGAAACGGGATATATTAAGCTCCTTTGACCAATTTCCGGGCGAGATTTCTGCCCTGCTCACTCCAGCGTCGGGAGACAAAGCTGAAAGCCCAAGTCTGAACGGACGTGCAACTTTCACGTCCAATAACAGCGGAGAACGAGGTTCAACTCGAGGGCCAAAGTGAACGATCAGCTCCTAATACTTCTACAGGCCAACAAAGCAACAAATAAAGGGAAGCCATTGCACGTAAGTCTCCTCCTGCACAGAGGTGAACATGTTTTTGAAGCGGTCTGGGATGCTGACCTGTGTGAGTGGCGCAATATAAATGCAACTTCTTGTCGTTTCAGTTATTTCACTGGGAACACGTTATTAAACACGTGGATTTCACCCCCAAGGTCTTCAAATGGTCACATGAATGCGATCCCACTTCTTAAGCAACTGTTTCACATATAAAATCTACTGTTGTTCGACCTAAGCATCCCCACAGCAATGCTCCCATTTGCTGGTAGATATTAAGGCCATTGACTTACTTTCCCAGTGCAAAGCATTCCAGCTTCACTGTTGCTCCTTTTGCTGCAGGAACTGTTTCTGGAAAGCGAACTTCAATCTTTGGTTCGTATTCACCCATTATCCCTGTGGACACACCGAAGAATATTTATTCTTAAACACTTCGATATTAATAATTATTAATAATTAATATTATTATTATTATTATTCTCAACCTTAACTTGCCTCACACAGATACCTATCACTCTCCCAAGCTGATTATAAGGTGTTGCACAATCCAATATCAGATTGATACCCACTATCAAATCAAACAGCTTCCGACTGTTCAACGGTATGTGAAAAATAATTTGGGGGGGGGTTTTAAGACAAGAAGTTTAAAACTTGAACCGTATCACAGATTACATGCCTCAATTAAATACCCATAACCAACGATTGCAACCGATCTTTGGGGTGAGGGCAACTGAACAACAATTTTTTGCCCTATCTGTAATATTTTAAAGAAATGTTTCTGGTCATAAAGCCACTAATATCTGGGGAAATGTTGTTCAGGCATCAATTCTGCTTTGAAATGGCAGGAGGTAATGGGGAGACGGTGATGGAGCCGTTGGATCAAGTGTTTGATTTGTGGCGTGGTGAATTATCAAGGACTGATGTGTTGCTGTTTCACAGGCACTAAATGTTCTTTTGAACACTCCTGTGTTGTAGAGTTTAAAATCTGCTCCCCTCAAGCAAACCATCACTAACAATCCTTTCTTGGGTGGGTAGTTTCCTCAGTCAGGTAACCTTTTTGCTCTGAGGTTCGTGCTTGCAATTTGTTCTGCCAACTAGGAAATTGGTGTGTCACTGAAGCCAAATACCCACAGTCTCAGAAGAGCCTGAACAGAAGCTATGCTGACGGCTAGTGTGTAGTGCGGATCTCAAGGTTACTGAGGATTATGCTAATGGTGGGGGCCAACTGCAAGCTTCGTAGGGCAAGCAAATGTGTGTTGGAGGCTCGTCAAAGACGGACAAGGCAACGCTGGGAGTTCAAACCTGCTGGCTAAGTAATGGTCGCAACAGCACAGCTCCGAGCAAGATCCCCGACTCTCGACCGCCCCCCCACCCTACCCCAACCCCCTCGGCATTCAGAAATTTGTCAAATCTTAACCATTCCTGACGTGCAAACAACAGCCAGATTGATTTATTTCGCCACGTTTATAAGGGCGCTTACGCCATCACAGTGGTTGAAGTGATTTGCCTGGCTAATTCGAGAAAAGAATGAGATTCTGTCTGAACAGTTAGCTGACCTCTAGCACCCGAGGGTGATTAACGACTGGACCAGGAGTTACCAGGAAAGTGTGGTTGGGGCCAGGCTGCTGGGACTCATTTTAAAAACAAAAGCAACTGGATGCCATGATGGGAGGAAGGCGGGGGTGAACGGCGGGGGGGGGGGGGGGTGTCCTGAGATCAGATGGGACAAAGGGCCTCCTGCATCTAGACCAATTCTGACATCTTGACAAAGTGCTCTGGGACGCTAGCCCGTGTGAAGTGCGCTAAGTTGTTGTTGTGACCTTATGATCTGAGAGAAATTGGTGGTTCCATGCTGAACATTGGCTGTTGGTTGGTTAAGGTACTGAAAGGTCTAATTATCTTTGCTGGAGCTCTGAAACGACACTTACCGTCAGTCCGTAGCACTAGGGGAGTAGGTGGACTGAGGACTCTTCTGTTTGTGACTGTGCTTTCTATCATACAGATGTAGGACCCGACATCTGACGTCTCCACTTTTGATATGTACAAGTTCCCAGTCTCCTGAGACACAAAGCGACGGTTGTCTTGTTCCACATAGGTTGGAAGCTCATTAAAGATCCAGTTATATTTCATTTCTGCAATAAAGCAAAAGGTTATTGTTATGCAGTGTTAACACACTTGGTGCCACAGTCTTTCACACCTAACCCTACATTGCTGTGTGCAAATTGGCTGCTGCTGAGTGAAGTACAGTGAATCTTTAATATCCACTTGAATAGGCACAGACAAGACCTCGATTTAACATCACATCTGAAGGATGGATTCAACAACGACGACAACTCGCATTTATTCAGCGCTCTCCATGCCGGATGGTGTCTCAGAGTGCTTCCTCGTAAAACCTCATTTTGGACACTTTGACATGATTAGATTTTTCTGACTTTGGGGCTTTCTGTGGAAATTACTTGAAAGCGAATGTTGCTCTTTTGTGTAACAAAACAGACCAATTTGTACATTTCAGCAGCTTCTCATTGGACTACTTTGGATGCACAAACTCTTCTGGAGATGAGTGATGGTTGTCTCTAATGTAAAGACACAGGAGGTAGTCAAGCATTCACCCAAGTCTTCCAATTGACACAATGACAGATGTTGCCTTTGATTTATCTAACTCAAGAGCAGGACTTACACAACTTAACAGAGGAACAGGCATGAATTAAGTTTCATCCACAAAATATACAGTCAATTCACTTTACAGTATGTTCTGTGAAGTGCTTTGAAATATCTCGAAGGTGTGATACAGCGCTGTATCAAATGCAAGGATTATTATTATTATTATTTGGTTCTTCTCACTTGTGGTATATATATTTCCTTTTCAGTAGCTTCGCATTATCTTTCCTCACTGTTTATTCAGTCTGGGGAGAATCTGTTGAAGCTAATTAGGCTGGGAATCATATGCAAACAGGGGATGAAGCTGTGGCTCAACACCAATCTGAGTGTGAGGACTTTATCTCATCAGCCGGAAGGGAAGGGAAACCAACTAGGAAGGGAGAAGGAGAGCAAGTGTGCAAGAGACATAGCGGGGAGTAGTTATAGCCGCGAGTGGCAATCGTGTGAAAGAAATATCAGGAGGAAGAGACAAAGGCAAGTCAAAATTATTATATGGACCAGGGAGCTGGGGCAGACAGGAATGGAATGGGAAAATGTTAATTACTTCTTTTCAAAACTGCATTAAGAAAGCAGAATGTGTTCTGTGAATGACCAATTACTATCATTCTTGACTTCAGTTAAATTCAATGTTGTCTAAAGATCCAGAAGATTTCTTTTTAGCTCTTAAAATAAAGTGGTCCAAAGACCTGCATTGTATGATAGACTGCCACAGAGACAGGTATGTGTGTGAAAACAACACGTAAAGGCCTGAATTACAACAACAACTTACATTTACATATGGCCCTTCATGTGGGGTAGCATCTTGGAGGGCTTGGGGGTGACGTGAAAAGCGCTATATCAAATGCAAGGATTATTATTATTATATTATTAAAAAAAATGTGGACGAGATGATGTGACGTGTGGAAAGGCTTATGAAACGTCGACAGATTTGCTTATGCTGCATTGTATGCCCTCAACCATCAAATAAAACAATAGTCATTTTCATTACTTAATCACATTTGAATACAAAATGAGTTATAAATTGAGCATAATTTGGGGGGTAGGGGCGATGGTGGGTGGAGAGGGTGGTGGAGAAGCGCGGAGTAAGGGGAAAACTTTTATCTTTGTGGAATGTTTATTCGTGGAAGAGTTTTGCAACTTGGAATGATTTCCGGCTCAGCAGAGTGATGGTGCTACGGCAGTGGTGAGCAATCATTAGTAATTACTTAACATAATTACATCTGACTGAATAATGCCAAGTTGCAGATCGACTCAAAACAAAGGGCTTGTTTTTAATGAGGCACTAATATCGTCTTTGCTGGAAAGGTGCCTTTTTTTTTTGTACATTCGATTTATCTTCATCGTGAAATGAGAAACAAATGAAGACTCGGGAGCAGGAATTGCCTTGAACAATGTAATCTCGCTGTATTCCCCCAGCGTCCAACAGAAACTGGCTGGCCCTAAGAAATTACCTTCCTACCTGCGTACAATTGACGGACTTTATAATAATAAGGATAATAATATAATCCCTGCATTTTGATGTAGCGCCTCATCATGTTGTCGAGACGTCTCAAAGCGTTTCATAGGATTTTTTTTTAACTGTAAGGTGTTGAAACTGGGTGTTTTGTAGGAAAATATGGCGGCCGGTTTGTGCCAAGCAATGTCCCCACAGACAGCTGTGAAGTGAGTGACCTAATTTTATTTGAGAGATTGTTGGCCAGGACACGAGGAGAAACTCCCTTCTCTTTTGATAGCAGTACGAATTTCAATAAGAATAATCCTTTGATATAGCCCCTTATCACCTCTTCGAGACGCCTCAAAGCGCTCCACAGAATATACGGAATTGACTTGAGTACTTTGTGGGCGAAACGCGGCAGCCGATTGCGCACAGCAGCGTCCCCACAAACAGTTGTACCACAAACAAAACAACCGTTAAGCTAAGAGAAATGTAATGCAATCGGATCTCTCTCCCTCACCACCTCCGCCCGATGGAAATGTGAGCCTGCATCTGAGCACCATTTAACAGCCAACATCCATGCATTACACGGGAGGAAGGCCTCACTGGTGTCAAGAGTATTTCGACAGAATAATAAATCTCTGTTAATATAATGAAGTAGCTGCGCAGTTCTGCATTCGAAATGTCGCTCAAGCTGATCGTCAAGTCCTGGCCCGTGACACATGTAATAATGTGCAGGTCAACGTGCTTTGTCTTGAGCTCTGTGCAGCTGCAAACGATAATAATAATCACACCATTAAATTCATGAAATGACCACGCAGCTCGGATTTCTTCGGAATGCAGGTTATGAGACGTTTTGACACACCAGATCAGAAATAACTGAGGGACCCTGTTACACCATACGGGGCTTGAGTAATGGGTTCCAATTTACAGCGCTGTCTGGCCAGCTTCCTCCATGCAGCGATTTGATGCGGAGTTTGAATTTGCAGCACCCCTAGACTCACCTCGGCTGACATTCCAGTGCTACGCTGGGATGTGAAGTGCCGTCCTTCGACTGAGACGTCAAACTGAATTCCCCGTCTTTCCCTGTTCAGGTAGATGTCAAAGGTCCCATTGCACTGTTGAAAAAGAGAAGGGAGTTTCTCCCTTGGCGTCCTGTCCAACAAACCCCAGGTAAAACCAGGTGTTCGCTTCTCGGCTGTTTACGGGGACATTGCTGTGCGCAAATTGGCTGCCTCGTTTGCCTACAAAACACACAAGTCACTGCACTTTTCAGTATGTCCTGTGAAGCTCTTCGAGACGTCCTCCTGATGTGTATCCGACGCAAGGGTTCGTTACTTTGCACTGAAGACAAAGACTGAGGAACGTTTGGGTACTTGTGTCGCGGAGTTTGCTAAGAGGAGAGGAGGGAGTGCACATTTGTGGAGTCCTGTAGCTCAGTGGTTAGAGCACTCGCTTTGCAAGCGAGAGACCTGAGTTCAATTCCAGGCAGAGGGCGAAACCTTGGGCAAGTTTCCTTACTCCACACAGAGCCTAATAATAATCCCTCCAAAACCAAAAACAATAATAAATTGGTCATTTTCAATCTACAACTGTTTGTGGGACATTGCTGTGCGCAATTGGCTGCCGCGTTCGCCCACAAAAAATATACAGTCAATTCACTTTACAGTGTGTTCTGTGAAGCGCTTTGGGACGTCCTCCCGACGTGAAAAGCGCTATATCAAATGCAAGGATTATTATTATTATTATTATTATTATTTCTGAGAGCCGAACCATTCTTCCTCTGTGTCACCATGCGAATGGTTCCTCGCCACATCTGCGGTCACCTCGGTTTGATTGGTTTGTATTTTTCTTGTCTCCGAGCCAGGCTCTCGCTGGCTGCTAGCAAACCAGAGAGTTCTGTCCCCTCAACAAGTTTGTGGCAATTGCGTGTGTTTTTTTTCTTTTAAAGAGCGAAGAGCTGCGTCGGGTGAATATTTATGGCAGCTGACGGCGAGTTTGTTTTGTGTGTAATCAAGAACCTCAAAGTGACAGGCACCAAAATGGGGCAAAACCCAACAACAACAACAACAAGATTCCATTTATTGAGCGCCTTTCACGTCGGGAGGACTTCCCAAGGCACTGTACAGTTGAGTCAGGACCCGAGCAAGGGGGAGATGGTCAGGGTGAGGGGAGGGAAGGGAAGGGAGGGAGCGAGGAGGGGGTAGAGAGTCGAGAGCGGAGCTGAAGGCTGAAGGTCAAAGAGAAAGGTCTTGAGACCGGCCTTGAAGGAGGAAAGAGAGGAAGCGGCGAAGGCACTGGGGGATAGAGTTCCAGAGCCTTGGGGCTGAGAGGCTGAAGGCCCGACCACCGATGGTAGGGCGGTTGGGGCGGGGGATGTGGAGCAAACCGGAGCCAGAGGAACGGAGGGTACGGGCAGGTAGGTAGGGGGATAGTAGGTCAGAGAGGGAGGAGGGAGCAAGGCCGTGAATGGCCTTGTAGGTGAGGATGAGGATCTTGAATTCGAACCTCTGGGGGATGGGGAGCCAGTGGAGGGGATGTGGTCGCGGTGTCTGGTGCGGGACAGTACACGAGCTGCAGAGTTCTGAATGACCTGCAGTGTGGAGGGAGGGCCGGGAAGGCCGGCGAGGAGAGAGTTCCCATAGTCCAGCCTTGAGGTGATAATGTCGGACAGGCAGCTGTCAGGACATCGGTGGTCGTGGAGTTGAGGGTAGAGGAGGAAAGGTAGAGTTGGGTGTCATCCGCATTCATGTGGAAGTTAACCCCATGTCTGCGGATGATGTCACCACAGGGGAAGCATATAGAGGGTGAAGAGGAGGGGACCGAGGACAGAGCCCTGAGGGACACCACACGAGACAGTGTGGGGGGTGGAGGAAAAGCCATTCGTGAAAACAAAGTGAAGACAGTGGGAGAGGTATGACCTAAACCACTCAAGGACAGGGCCTTGAAGGTTGAGGTGGGGGACAAGCGGTGGAGGAGGATAGAGTGGTCGACTGTATCGAATGCTGCCGATAGGTCGAGGAGGACGAGGAGACAGAG